CTGTGACTTTTTTTTTTTAAATAGAGCAATGGAAGAGGATCTTTTATTCGTCACTCTGAGCAAAAATACAGAATACATTTATTACTTAACTTTCCCATAATATACCTTCGTATTTAGAGAAATAAAAAATTAGTTGTTGGGACTTGCTTTTGGAGAATGACCAATAACCTCCTTATCGATGTTTGGATATTGAACCCAGGGATCATCGCCTCTTATGTGTATTAGTCTCCGTATTTCCAGCTCCTTGAACCATAATTCAGCCTCTTCAGCTTCAATCTGAAGGCTGGCCATTGTCCATAATTTTCAGGACCACCGTAGAGAGTGCGGCAATCCATCTTGATACAGGGTGCTTGAAACATTCCCAGTGTCTGGGATACACAGCTTCTGGAACTTCTGCTAGCTCCGCTTCACCATGAACACACTCACCAGCTATGCCAATTGCTACTGGAATCTGAGTCAACATAATGTAGAATTTCAGTAAGTTCAAAAAAATTCCTGTCATAGAATCCAGGAGGTTTGATAACAAAAGGTCTTTTCCTGTGGTCTCCATTGTGTCTCACAAGAGCAATAGCCTTTGGAAAGCCAGGTGTAAGAAAGCCCGCAGCGGGCCGGGCATGGCTCAGCAGTTGAGCGTTGACTTAGGATCCGGGAGATCATGCGGTTCGATTCCCGGTCAGGGCACATGCCTGGGTTGGGGGCTTGATCCAGTCGGGGGTGTGCAGGAGGCAGCTAATCAATGACTCTCATCATTGATGTTTCTATCTTTCCCTCTCCCTTCCTCTCTCCAAAATCAATAATGATTTATCAAAAAAAGAAAAGAAAAGAAAGCCCCCACATCGAAGCATGGTCCAGTCAGGCCATCCTGAGATCTTTACTTGACTCCCTGCTGTGTGTCAAGGTCATGTGTTAGGTGCCACCATGATACCTAAGAATAAGAAAAACTTCCCGCCAGTCTTAATCTTATATCCTTTAGAGTAAAATAGACAGTAAACATGTATAAACACACTACATAACTTTATATGGTACTAAGTATTAGGAAAGAAATAAAGTAGAATATAGGCATCATGACTGAGATTCCAAATCTGGCTATAGAAAAGCGATCATTTTCGGGAAAGAGAAGACAGCAAACCCTTGATTTGATGGACTTCAGATTTAATGGACAAAATTTTGGGTCCATATGTCATGTGAAAATTAACAATGTGTTAATTTTAAAATGCTTTTAACCAAGATTTACTAATAATGAAAATAACAGATTTTTTTATTAATTCAATTATTTTTTTAAAGGCATATCAAAGTCTTTTTTGTTAACTCTCACATGAGGATATTTTATCCATTGATTCTGAGAGTGGAAGGTAGGGAGGAAAGGGGGGAGAGAGAGAGAAACATTGATATGAGACACCTTAACTGGCTGCCTTCTGCACGCCTTGACCAAGGCCAGGGATCAAACCTGCAACCCAGCCCGGCTGGGCGTGGCTCAGCGGTTGAGTGTCAACCTAGGATCCAGGCAATCCGGGTTCGATTCCCGGTCAGGGCACATGCCCAGGTTGCAGGCTACATCCCCAGTCAGGGGCATGCAGGAGGCAGCTGATCAATGACTCTCTCATCATTGATGTTTCTATCTCTTTCTCTCCCTCTTCTTTCCTCTCTGAAATCAATAAAGATATATTTAAAAACAAACAAACAAAAAAAACCCTGCAACCCAGGCAAATGCCCTTGACCTGGAATCAAACCTGAAACCCTTTGGTTCACAGGCCAAAGCTCTAATCACTGAGTCACACTGGCCAGGTCTTCACTGTTATTTTTAACACATTTTAGGGAATAGGCAGTATGTTGGAAAAAACACTGTAGTAATTTCACCAACATAAATATTACAGCCCTAGCCAGTTTGGCTCAGTGGTTAGGGCACTGGCCCTTGGACTGAAGGATCCCGGGTTCAATTCACAGCCAAGGGCATGTACCTCAGTTGCAGGCTCCATCCCTGGCCCCAGTTGGTGGGTCCAGGAAGCAACCAATCGATGTTTTGTCCCCCTCTCTCCCCCTCTCTGTAAAGCAATGGGAAAAAATATCCTCAGGTAAGGATTAAAAATAATAATAATAAATATTACATATCTACTATAGTCTACACATTTATTATTATTATTTTTAATATATATTTTAATTATCTTTATTGATTTCAGAGAGAAGAAGGGAGAGAGAGGGAGAGAGAGAAACATCAATGATGACAGAGTCATTGATCGAGCTCAGAACCCTGTCATGTGCCCTGACCAGGAATGGAACCCAGATCGCCTGGATCCTAGGTCGACACTCGACCACTAAGCCATGCCCAGCCGGGCATCTACATATTTAAATCCAAGAGTCACCGCTCAAAAAGAATGTTCGGTGAATGATTAGCACGTCATCACACCACATCGCACGAGGTCATTGGTTCTGCTGTCAGGCATGACTTTCTGCAGCAGTTTTAACAGGAGCCAGTGGATGTTGATGTGCTGTGTGCATGTGTCCTCGCCGTGACTGGTGAATGTGTGCATTTACTAGACCTATTCAGTATAAATTTAAAATTACAGTAACATACATAGAAAACTTTCTGTGAAATTAAACTTTTCACACATACTTTTTATTTTTAACCCTCAATCAAGGGTATTTTTTCCATTGCTTTTCAGAGAGAATGGAAGGGAGACAGGGAGAAACATTGATGTGAGAGAGACACATCAATTGGTTGCCTTCAGCACACGCCCCGACGGGGGCCAGGGATCAAGCCTGCAACCAAGGTACGTGCCCTTGACCAGAATCGAACCTGAGATCCTTCAGTTGACCGGTTTGACGCTCTAACCACTGCACCAAATCAGCTAGGGCAATTTGTCAATTTTTTAGCATATGAATACAGAAAACCTACTTTATTATATAACGGCCCTTCAGCTTTAATGGACACCCCTCACCTGATTTAGTCCCTTCACAGAGTTTTACTGTAGTCACAGTCACTAGAAGTCCACTGCAGCCAGGATGTGACTACTGGCTCTGTCCCACTGGCCAGTTGATTGGGCCAGGAGTAGGCAGCTGACCCAAGTTAGGTGAATCAGATTCTCTCCCAGGAAGTTGGAAATAGAACTAATTATTTCACTGCAGTATAGGAGATGGTTCAGCTTTAGGGCTGGGGCAATGCTGGCCAGGTGCAGAGAGAGAGAGGAAGCCAGCTCTCAGGACGATGAGGGGAGCAGACACACAGGGATGTCAGAAAGCTGCAGGCTGAGGGACAAAAATGAGTGCCTTGTGTCCTAATAGGCTTCTAGGTACAGATTCCAGTCTCTTGTAAGGTCCAGCTGGAGGTCCTGCCCTTTGGATCCAAGAGATCCAAAATTTTTTTTAAGTAGGTAGAAAAACATTTTAATCATCGTTATAAGAGATAACAGGGACCAGAACAAGACACTACAGATTTAGGGAGTAAATGTTTTGAAACTCCTAATTCTTCCAATAAATTGTGTTTCTATGCATTGCAACCAAGATGACCATTTCTAAGAATGAAAATGCCAGTGATGACAATGATGGTAATAGACCTTTGTTAAGTGCCAAGCATTGTTTTCAGAATTTTACATGTCATTTATTTCAGTCCTTACAACTCTTTGAGACAGGTATCATTGTTATTCCCATTTTACAGGTGAGCAAACTGAGGTACAGAAGTCACAGTGAGTAAGTGGTAGGACTAGGATTTTTTTTACAAGATCTTTTTTCTTTTTTAAAGATGTTTTATTGATATTTAGAGAGAGAGGGAAAGAAACATCAATGTGAGAGCGAAACACGGATCAGCTGCCTCCTGCACACCCTCTACAGAGGATTAAGCTCACAACCCAGGCACGTGACCTGACCTGAAAACAAACCGGCAACTTTTCAGTGCACGGACAATGCCCAACCAACTAAGCCATACAGGCCAGGGCAAGGACTGGTGTTTGAGTCTAGGCAGTTGGCCACCAGGGCCTTTACAAGGCTTCACTATAGTCTAAAAATCACTAAGGTTATTTTAAACATGTAAAATCCTTTCATACACTCCCACTTGTCCTGAACAAAATCCCTCATACAAAAGGTATACGCTGCTTTGTACACAACTCACTCCAACTGAGAAACTGGCAGCACATTATCAGCTCAGTGTTTTCATCACTCCCCGTGTTAAAACTAAAACATTCACACTCCCTGACCATGAGCCAGGGTGGGAGAAAGTTTCCCGTAACTGCCCTGCACGTCTTAGAAACAGAGGCTCTGATGTCACCCAGCAGATAAGAGCTGACCTTGGCCTCTGGGTTGTCATAAGCTTGAGTTTAAATCCTCTGCTTTGCCTCAAACTGTAAACTCAGAAGTTACCTACCTTTTCCTGCCTCAGTTTCCTTATCTATAACATAGAAATAATAATGCCTCTCTCAAGGGATTGTGAAGATTGAATGAAATAGCCCTAGCCAGTTTTGCTCAGTGGTTAGAGCATCGGCCTGCTAACTGAAGGTTCCTGGGGGGTTCAATTCCAGCCAAGGGCATGTACTTTGGTTGCAGGCTCGATCCCCAGCCCTGGTCGGGTCAGGGTGCATACAGAAGGCAACCAATCGCTGTCTCTCTCTCACATGGGTATTTCTCTCTCTCCCTTCTACTCTCTCTAAAAAGCAATGGAAAAAAATATCCTTGGGTGAGAACTAAAAAAAAAAAAGATTGAATGAAATAATGGACTAAAGTGTTTACCAGCAAATTCTGAAACCCAGACATGGTTGCACCTCAGGTAAGCGCAAAACAAATCACTAGTTTTACTATTCTGTGTCCCCTTCTTTTGGAAAAAACACTGTTTTCCTTGGGAACAACTGTTCTTCCACTGGGTATCGTCCTGCAGGGACCACCGATCCCTAGCTAAGGAACAGCAACATGACCTTAATGAGCCCAACCAGACACTCTCTTCCTAGAATCCGAATCTTTAGCTGAGCCATCCAAAACTGAACGGGAAATGTAAAGAAACAAACAACAAAGAACAATTGGTCCCCATGTCCTACTGAAGACATGACTGGCCGCTGGCTCTTGCCCCTGCACAACCAGACCTAGGTCTTTGACTTTGCATAGATTCTGTGACTCTCTCACAACTTAAACTCCCATAAACTTAAGTCTCCAATAAACTTCAGTTAGGCAGAGTTGGGTGTCCATCGTTTGCATTCAAAGAACTTTATGACCTACTTCTAGAGAAAAGGCTAGGTCTCTGCGAAGCTCAACAAATTCTTTACTCCCCTTTCCCTTCTTCCATGGACAAGGAGAGGGTATGAGCTATCAGCTGCTAGGTAATAAACTACCCCAAACCTAGCAACTTTATTTATTTCAGAGAGAGAGAGAAAGAGAGAGAGAGAGAGAGAGAGACATCAATCTGTTGCTCCTCCCACCCATGCATGCATTGGTTGCTTCCTGTATGTGTCCAGACCAGAGACTGAACCTGCAAACCTGGTGCATCAGGAAGAAGCTCCAATTAACTGAGCCATCCAGCTAGGGCAAAACCTAGTGGTTTTAAGCAGTGAACACTGATTATCTCATAATTTGTGTGTGTCTGAAACTTGAGAGCAGCTTCACTTAGTGGTTCTGGCTCAGGCTCTCTTATGAAAGTTGCAGTCAAGACGTCAGCCAGGATGTGGTCATTAGAAGGCTTGGCTCAGCTGGAAGACTGACTTCCAAGATGGCACACTAACCTGGCTGTTGGCAGGCCTCAGTTCCTTGTCACACATGCTTCTCCACAGGACTGCCTGGGTGTCTTCACATGGAAGTGGCTTCCTGCAGAGTAAGGGATCCAAGGAGGCCACGATGCATCTCCACTCAGCTTTATTTGGTGTGAACACTGAGAGGGAGCAATGACCTGGGGCCCTCTCAGGCTGGCTGCTGCACAGGGCACACCTAGCAGCCCTGCAGGGGTCTCTGCAGCCAGGCATTGTCCTCCTTTTACTTTAGCTATTTCTCTTCACCCCAAGAATATCTCATTCCAGTGACTTTCAAGTAATGGGTACAAGGAGGAGGTAGCTATGAAAAACAGACGCAGAAGAGGCAAGGTGAAGATCTCAGTCCAAGGACCAGGTCTGAAGAACTGGGAAAGAGGAACAGACAACCTTTAGGGAAGGGAGACAGGCTGCTCCAAGTCCAGGAAAAAAAATAGTATAAGACATATGTGCTCCTCCCCACCCCACCCCCTCAGATGAGCCTGAGAAAGTCTGACATCCAGCTCAGCCCTGCTTGTCATCCAGCCTTATTGCTCAGAGTCCAGACAGGGCCTGAGAACTGAGTCCAGGCTGCTGCCAAGCTGTCATGAACTGAACTGTGTCCCCCTCAGAAGTCATATGTTGAAGCCCTAACCCCCAGGACCCAAGAATGTGACTGTATTTACAGCTGGGCCTTTAAAGAAGTGATTAAAGTAAAACTGGGTCATTAGGGTGGGTGCTAATCCCATCTGACTGGTGTCCTTATAAGATGACATTTGGACACACAGAGATACCAAGGGCACACTCAGAGAGATGACCATGTATGGACATCAGGAAGGCAGCCATCAGCAAGCCAAGGAGAAATGAAACCTGCCAACACCTTGATTTTGGACTTGCAGCCTCCAGAATGGTGAGAAAATACTTTTCTGTTGTTTAAGCCACCCAACTCTGCGACATTTTGTTATGGCACCTCAGGCAGCTTAAACACAAGCCCTCTGAACTGTTCTAAGAACCAGCTGGTAACCTCTGCCATTTAATGTGGTATCAGAACCAGACATGAGCCTGGCCAATGTTGCTCAATGGTTGAGCACCAACCTATGAACCAGAAGGTCATGGTTGTATTGCAGGTCAGGGCACATGCCCAGATTGCGGGTTCGATCCCCAGTGGGGGACATGCAGAAGGCAGCCGATCAATGACTCTCTCATCATTGATGTTTCTCTTTCTCTCTCTCTCCCCCTTCCTCTCTCTGAAATCAATAAAAATATATATTAAAAAAACAAAAACCCAGGCATGAGGCCTTCCTCTCCAGACTCAGGGAGGTGAGAAGGGTGAGCAAACTGGTGAGGACAGGGCTGCGTGGAACCATGGATGTACTTGTGAGCACCCAGAGACTGTATCCACTCTGGTTCCTTCTGCAAGTTCCTGATGGGCCTCAGGACTCCTGCTCCTCCCCTCTGAAGGCAGTTTCCACACACACAGGTTCCTACCTCCACTGTCTGGCACATCTCCTATCAACTGGAAAGCATCTTCTGTATTCGTTCCCGCACTTCCTTTGGTCCCAAGGACACCATCATCTCCGCTACAGGCGGTCCTTGCTAAGAACAAAAAGAAAACATTACCTATGATCTTAAGCTACTGAAGGAACTAATACCCAGCCTCGGTCTGCAGAAGTCATACCCAGCCAACCAGCACTGCCACCTGTACCCCAACGGGCAGAGTCTGCATTTCACTGTCTTTAATTTCCAAGGCTGAGGCTGCATCTCCGGAGCCTGTTTTCCTGTACTGGTATGTCTGTTACCTCCAACCAACCGCCTCCTTGCAGCATGAAGGAAGGGCATTGTGCGTTTTATTCACTGCAGCAGCCTCTGTGCCTAGCATGGCACCTGCACACAGTAGGCACTCAATAGGTATTGTCTGTTGAATGAGTGAGGGGAGTGCTCATGTTCCACTCATCTTTGTATGAAAGATGAGCTCAGTGCTGCTACTGAATGCTAGCTGAATGGATAAATGAGGGCTCTGGGGAACAGTCCAGCCCATCTGCCCGCCTCACCAGCTGTCCACTGAGGGCCACACGGAGGAGTTTCATCACGTTACTGTATTTGGTGCCAGCCAGACCTTCTGACAGCTTCTTCAGTTCTGCATTCAGCACGTCTTGAGTTAAGCTGGCACCAGGTCCTTCTAAAAGCCTAGAAGAGGGCAGTCTATGAGGGGCCAGTGGCAGCGGGACGGAGAACTTAGGAACACTATCAATCAGCTACAATATAAAGAGCACAGCCAACGTTCAGGCTGGCCTGGGGAGAGGGGAGGGAGGGCATATCTACTACACCCATCCCCACCCAAGTTGGGGAAGACAAAACCACCAGGGGACCATATAACTGAGAATCCAGGCATGTGGGCATAACATAGGGAAACTAAGAGGGTCCCAGAGTAAGAGGATTTACTAAGTGCTACCTTGGTGCAGGTCATTTCTATGCCTCAATTTTCTCACCTGTGCATCTGCATCTCACAGACCTATGGTGTGACTAAATTAAAACAAGTAAAGCACTAAGTACATAGCTTGAACAGGTAGTAAGTACTCAAAAGTATTACATCTTATATTCCAATAGAAAGTTAAGTGCTAGCCAGTATTTATTACACCAAGAGCTCAAAGACATTGCAAGAGTATCTAAAGAGAAACTCAGGAATGGGTTAGATGTAGGATGGAAGGATGCAGCCCTCTGGAAAATGATCTGAAACATAGTTTTGAGACTGGGAGACTTTTGGAGATGTAACATAGAAGAGCAGAAAGGAAGCAATCAGGAGACTGCAGCCCCAGTAAGGGCCCTGCCACCAACTTGCTACCATCATCCTTTGCCCACAGGTTGAAGCGCAGAAGGACCTAAGCTTCAGTGGGCCCGCAATCGTTGTCATTTCCTAGCAGCTAAGATCCACTCCCAAAAGCATGTCTGAGTTCAAGAGGAATTCCCTACCATTAGAGCTGGACTTGCAAAACCTTCACCCCAGTCGTGATTTGATGTTAGAGCAAGAGACAGGGACCGG